CCCTCCCTCCCTCCCTCCCTCCCTCCCTTCCTTCCTTCCTTCCTTCCTTCCTTCCTTCCTTCCTTCCTTCCTGTGACTGACCAGTACATGGATCAGAATCCTTGACTGTTGGGAAAATAGAATAGTTTAATCAGGCCCCCTCACCTTGTGTCTGGTTGGGTGTGATGCAGCACATTCTTTGTAAGCAAGTTGTTTGTGGGTGGAGTTAGTGCACATGGGTGGCACCACCACTTGGCTGGCATTGACCGCCCGTGCGTGGCCATGCTCTTGAACCTATGGCTCCAAGGACCTTTTTGCCAGTTACCTAGCTCAAAGACCTGCGTATGAGGGGTCTGGGGATCCAGTCTGGTGTATGGAGGGTTTATGACGCTACAGACCCAGCCCTAGCTCAACATTTACCTTTGTGTAACACCACACTCTAACCAACTGGCTAACCAGCTAGCCCTGATGCTATAATTGCTAAAGAATGCTTTACAATGTTTCATTCCTGATTTAGTAATTTTTATCTTTATGAAGATGAGACATTTAAAAAAGCATAGGGCAAATAAACCTAATTCAGATGCTCTGGTTAGAAAAATCTCCTAAAAATAGCAGAACCAAGTTTAAAAACAAAATAAAAAATAATAAAAATGTATGGGCTGGAGTTCATTCCCTGGCAAGACATCATCAAAAGGAAGCCTTTAGGCCTTGATGAAGAGAATATGAATGAGCATCTGGGTAGGGAGGTATGGGAAGAGGAAGGCTGAAGATAAACTCTGGCTACTATAAAATTTTGCCTTTGGGCTAACGTGAGTAACCGCAAATAATCCTTAAATATATTAAAAATGAAAAAAAAAAAAAAAAGTAAATGCTACAGTTTCTATACACATGGGGCTGAATTACAGACCTTAGTACGGTCTTACAAATATAAGTGACGTTCATGTATTGTGTTAGATCAGTTATTTCTGAGCTTATATGTATAGATAGATAGATAGATAGGGTATGACCAAAGCGCTCATTTAAAAATTTCCATTATAGGGCTGGCCACTTAGCCCCATTGGTTAGAGCATAGTACTGATAACACTAAGGTGCAGCGTTTGATCCCTGTGCTGGCTAGCCACTAAAAAAAAAAATTTCCATTATATCTCAAGTGGATCACTTATATTCTTTATCACATATCTTTCTGTAGAAAAGCTGTCTAATTATACAGCATTTTCCTAGGCCTAAACTTGTTGTTCACACCTTGCTTTAACTCCCTTCTACAATGAATTTCTAAAATATAATTTCAAAATCATTTTTTATTTTGTCAGATACATTGCAAAGAATAAATTCAATGCTAAAAACATAAAATAATGGAGCCCTAAAAAGTTCTGATCTTAGATAATCCCAACTGAATTTTTTTTCAGGGTATAACTTGAAACTTAGAACACTTCTATCAATCGTTTACCTTCTACATACAATTCTAGTTGACAGAATGCTGTTCCACGTCGTACATGTGCCTTCATTCTTGCATTAGCATTGTCTGCAACAGGTGGTGTCAATAGTTCCAGCGCCTTTCAAAAAATATAAATAATTAATAAACACATATATACATACATAATTAATAAGACATAAATTTCTAATTTAAACTTGAGCAAAAACATGGTAAAAATTCTAAACAATCCTTAAGCCCTCACCCACCTAAATTTTTGGCTTACTTAGCTGGTACAGGAATTTCTCAAATACATGTATTTATGTTGAACAAGTTAATGAATTGTTCAATTGTTCCCATAAGTGATTCAAATTACCCCCCCCCCCAAGTTATGACTTGGCTTATCATTTGAAATCTCTACAGCTTTACCTTTACTAGCAACAATCATTAAATAGACTTTGTGGTCTTTTATATTTAGATTGGGTGATTCCGTTTATTCATTCAATAAATGTTTGTGCACAAAAATTGTACTAGACCACGGAAAACTGTATCATAAAAAGATTATGAGATCAAATTGTGAGGACTTGGTTGTTTCCTCCATCGTTTATTCATTCAATAAATGTTTGTGCACAAAAATTGTACTAGACCAGGGAAAACTGTATCATAAAAAGATTATGAGATCAAATTGTGAGGACTTGGTTGTTTCCTCCATATTCTCAATCTCAAGGAGCCACATAAGTTTTGCCATGATATTCCCTTAAAACAAGTTACCTTGACATGGAAAAAAAAGAAAAAGCTGTAGAAGTTTAAAACATTCACATGAAATACTAGTAATGGAAATTACAATATACTAAGAGACCCTAAAAATGGAAAATGATTATAGAGATATCCTTTACTGTGCAAGTGGTACAGATAACAATGGAATACCAAGTGTTTTTTCTTCTACGTTGCATTAAGCCTGCAAAACTTTGTTAAGAAAAAGGGTGAGTACAATTGACAACCATTTACTAATTTCCTTGAGAACTTCAACTGATGTACCAAAGCAAGAGTAATAGTTGATAGGGGATTGCTAATCAACTCGAAGTGTCAAAAAACACGAGTTCCTGTCCATTAAAAAAAAAAATCGTTAAAAAGACGTAATAAGATTTTTTTTTTCTTGGCTAGCCAGTATGGGGATCCAAACCTTTGACTTTGGTGGTGTTCTTAGCACCACACTGTACCAAATGATCTAACCGGCCAGCCCCCTTGAGTTCCTTGTCCATTAAAAAAAAAAAAATCAATAAAAAGATGTAATAAAGAAGTTATTTCTTAAAATCCTTTCATCTCAATTTAAATTTAACAGAAAAAAGAGCATCATTTAAACTAATAAAAACAATTTTAAAGCACTATAAATAAATAAATAAATACATTCATACATACATATGTACCTTAGAAGAATCTTCGATGGCCTTGTGTAAGTTTTTCAGTTTTAGGTGGCAAGCAGCCCGATTCAAATACAATAGTGGAATCTTATTATTTAGTCTTATGGCTAAGTTGTATGCATTAATAGCTGCCAAATAGTTTTCTGTTGCAAACAATTTGCTAATGAGACAAAAACAGAAAGGGAAAACAATATAACATTGAAACAGAAACAGAAATAATATCTAATGATATTTGGCAGAGGGGATGGCTTACATCCTTTTGTATTCCCTGTAGAGTGGACATTATTGGCTGTACTGACTCTATCTCGCCTCCACATACAGCAGCATGTAATTTTCATAGGACGCACCTCACCCCCACCTCCAAGGGTAGCTATCAGTAGTTTAAGCTAGTAGGCATATTTCGTCACCTTGCTACAACGATTGACTCAGGGATGGGCTTGAGACCCAAACTGGTCTATTCAGAATGAAGCCTGTGACTGATTTTAAAAGTTGTAAAAACTTCTCCCCCTGCTAGATGTGAATGAAGAAAGCACAAAGCTCAAGTTGTTGCTGATCATTTTTAATACCATGGGAGGAGCTAGTATTAAAATAAAGCTGATATTAAGAAGTATGAAAGGAATAAAAAGGCAGAAAGAAACTGAGTCCTTCATGATACTGTTAAGCTGCTCTATCAAGCTTTACCTGAAATACAAAAAATCTTTAGCTTTTTGGTTACATAAGCCAATAAATTCCTTTTAGTATAAAGCCTGTTTGAATTGGGTTTTTTGGTTATTTGCAAACAAAACTATCCTAATGCATATACTCTTTCAGTTTAAATGTTCCAAAATTCTCTTCAAATAAAGAAATGTATGTGATTAAATTATTTATTTAAAATGTCAAGTTTCTTTTTTGTTTTTCATGTGTAATTCCTACTTACAAATTTTTGAATAAATGCATAAACAGGAAAATAGAAAATACTTTGCCAACCATAAAAGTGCCATATAAATAACACTTTGTATTCATTTCCAGTTGATTATAGTGCATACTTTGCTGCTCTAGAATATTAAATTCAATGACAACAAAAGCAGACCCATCAAGCAGCCAGTAAATTATAAGTAAAAGATAAGATGACACCATTATGACATCTAATTTAAGCTTAACTCAAGCTGAAAATAACTTGCACAAACTAGGAAAGCTAATTCTGTAGGCATGGTTTATATTTCTGAAATGCCTCATACCAGCTAGGATGTTTCTGACCACAAGTAACAAAACCCCAACACAAATTGGCTTAAACAAGTAAGGAAATAAATTATCTCACATTTTAAAAGTCCTGAAAGAAGAGGCTCCATGCCCAATATATAATATATAATCAGCAGCTTGAAAATTTTTTCAAGGCCTCGGGTTCCTTCCATCTTCCCATTCTACTGTATTCAGCAGCAACTTCATCCTAGGACTGGTCTTCCTCATGGCTATCCAAGGGTACTTCAAAAAGTTCATGGAAAAACAGAATTAAAAGATAATATGAATCTTTCCATAAACTTTTTAAGTACGCTCATATTAGTTCAAGGTGCCATATAATATCTATTAGAAGAAAAGGTGACAATATCTTCTGGTATATGCTCCCTAAGAGCAAGAAAACCTATCCCAGAAACCTCCTGCACCAAGGTCCAGGGTTTGATCCCTGTACCAGCTAGCTGCCAAAAAAAAAAAAGAAGAAGAAATGTGGGCTGTCTGGTGTTAGCTCACATGGTTAGAAAGTGATGATGCTGATAACACCAAGGTCATGGGTTTGCATCCCTGTACCGGCTAGCCTCTTTCTCTCTCTGTCTCTGTCTCTCTCCCCTTCTCTCCTGCCCCCACAAAAAAATTAAAATTACTGGGCCGGCCCGGTGGCGCACTGGAGAGTGTGCCGCTTGGGAGTGCGCTAGCGCTCCCGCCGAGGGTTCGGATCCCATGTGGAGACCAGTTCCCACTCACTGGCTGAGCGCGGTGCAGGCACAACACCAAGTGTCGCGATCCCATTGCCGGTCCCCGGTACGGGCGCGACACCGAGGGTTGCGATCCCGTTACTGGTAAGTGTCGCGATCCCATTGCCGGTCCCTGGTACGGGCGCGACACCGAGGGTTGCGATCCCGTTACTGGTCAGTAAAAACGACAAAAGGAAAAAAAAATTACTAAGGAGTAATTTTACTCCTATATATGGCTGTTTTGGAATGTTTTTAAAAATTCAAAAATGTGACCATCTTTCCATGTTAGTAAATACATTATTTTTAGAGTACTCTCTCTCATGTGCCAGGATTTCTGAAACCAATTTCCTCCTACTAAGGCACATTTTGGAGTTTTATTTCTTAATTCTTTGCCTTTATAAATGACATTATAATAAACATTTTTGTACCTACAAGGGGTCTTCAAAAAGTTCATGGAAAGATTTGTATTAACTTTTAATTCTATTTTTCCATGAACTTTTTGAAGTACCCTCATATATCTTTAAAAAAAATACAATTAAAACAGTCCTGATTTGTTAAAATCAATCAGAATTTATCCTGGACTTGTGATCAGGTCACCATCCTAAATCACATGGGGAGGTATGCACACCTGAACAAAACAGGGGCTCAGCCAGTAAGGATAAAGGGAGAGAATAAATATTGGCTAGGTAACCCTACGGTGTTTACTACAAACCTTGTTTTTTTAATTGTGGTAAAATATATATAACAAAATTTGCTCTTTTAACCATTTTTAAGCATTCAGTTCAGTGGTATTCAGCACATTTACACTGTTGTGCAACTATCACCACCATCCATCTCTAGAACTTTTTCATCTTCCCAAACAACTTCCCAATTCTATTTTCTGTCTCTATGAATTTGACTACTCTGGGTACCTCATATAAGTGGAATCATATAATATTTGTCCCTTTGTGACTGGCTCATTTCACTTAGCACAATGTCTTTAAGGTTCGTCCAAACTGTAGCATGTGACAGGTTTTCCTTCCTTTTTAAGGCTGAATACTATTCCATTGAATATATGTACCACATTTTGTTTATCCATTCATCCGTCAATAGACACTTGGGTTGCTTATACCTTTTGTCTATTGTGAATGCTGCTGCTGTGAACATGGGTGTACAAATATCTGTTTGTGTCATTGCTTTTAATTCTTTCAGGTATATACCCAGAAGTGGAATTGCTGTATCACATGGCAATTCTATTTTTAATTTTTTTTTTTTTTTTTTTTTTTGGTGGCTGGCCTGTTTGGGGATCTGAGCCCTTGACCTTGGTGTTATAACACCATGCTCTAACCAACTGAGCTAACTGGCTAGCCCTCTATTTTTAATTTTTTGAGGAAACACCATACTGTTTTCCACAGTGCTGTACCATTTTACATTCCTACCAGCAGTGCACAAGAGTTCCAATTTCTCCCCATCCTCACCAATACTTGTTATTTTATTTTTATTTTTTTTATAATAACCATCCTAATAGGTGTGAAGTGGTAACTCATTGTGGTTTTCGTTTGTATTTCCTGAATTAGTGAATGCTGAGCATCTTTTCATGTTTACTGATCATTTGTATATCTTCTGTGGAGAAATGCCTATTTCTGTCCTTTTCCCATTTTTTAAAATCAGGCTGCTTGGTTTTTTTGTTTGTTTGTTTGTTTGTTTCTAAAAGATGACCGGTAAGGGGATCTTAACCCTTGACTTGGTGTTGTCAGCACCATGGTCAACCAGTGAGCTAACCAGCCATCCCTATGTAGGATCTGAACCCGGGGCCTTGGTGTTCTAAGCACCACACTCTCCTGAGTGAGCCACGGGCCGGCCCAGGCTGCTTGTTTTTGTTAATTTGTAGGAGTTCCTTATATATGTTCTGGATATTAACTTTTTAGCAGGCATATGATTTGTAGATATTTCCTCCATTCTGTGGGTTGCCTTTTCACTCTGTTCATAGTGTCCTTGATGCACAAAAATTTTTAATTTTGGTGTAGTCCAACTTACCTATTTTTTTGTTGTTGCCTGTGCTTTATATGTCATGTCCAAGAAATATTGCCAAATCCAATGTCATGAGACACCCTGTGTTTTCTTCTAAGAGTTTTATAATTTTAGCTCTTACACATTTACGTCTCTGACCCATTCTGAGTTAATTTTTGTATATGTTGTTAGGTAAGGATCCAACTTCATTAATTTTCATGTGGATATCCAGTTTTCCTAATACCATTTGTTGAAAAGAGTTTCCTTTCTCCATTGAATGGTATTGGTACCCTTGTTGCACATCATTTGACCATATATGCCAGGGTTTATTTCTGGGTTATCTATTCCATTGGTCTATATGTCAGTAGAAAGCTTATATTAACATATACATTTTAAGAACATTTCCATTTTTCATCTTCAATATAAGTTTACAGTTGTATAATGGAACAGAAAAGCTCTCCTAGGAAGAAGGTCTTACAATGATCAGTATGAAAGAATCATTGTAGGAGGCATAGAAGCAGAAAATATACAGTATTTAACATTTAAATGTATATTAAAAAATAAATCAAAATGAACATTACACTCCTTAAAGTTCAATACCACTACAAGCATCCAAAATTTACTTTATGACTTTCAGAACAATTTTGAACTCAGAAACAGCCAAAGTTCAAAAAGAAAGGAAAAAAAATTAAACCTCTCTCTAAAGGTCAGTAAGTAGCCTTTGACATCAAATTTAAGCAGAGAAGGGCCGGCCCGGTGGCGCACTGGATAGTGCGCCGCTTGGGAAGCGCGGCGGCGCAAAAGAATTATACTAAAGTACTCATTCATTCAACACATACTGAATGCTTATTGTACTAAGCATAAAAAGAGAACAAAACGATGGGCAATAGCAAACACTCCTGTCATTTTATTATGACTGACTGGTTTGCCTTTGAAAAGAAAGAAACATTCTGATTGGCAATGGCCAAAAAAGCCAAACATTTTATACAAGAATTGAGCATGGCAGAAGCAACAAGAGGCAGGAAGGCTGAGAAAGAAGCAATGTGGAGAGAAGAAAAAGGGGCAAAACAGACTTATGAGAGAGATCAGAAGTAGTGGAGTTTAGATACAGCAATGGGGGCAGAGAGCAGTACATATTCCAACAGAAGACAGAACAGCTCTGTTTGTGGGCAATAGAAAGGAACTCTAACAGTTACCTGCCCCTCAAACGACTCTGAACGTCCTT